TCCATATTTATATTAATATTAATGTATCTTAGTTACTTTTCTTTCATTGTTGGCACAAAATACCTAATGCCCAAAATTAAGGAAGGAAAGGTTTATTTAGCTCACAGTTTGTGTAGGTTTCAGTCCATATTCGTCTGGCTCCAAGGCAGACTGGCACAAGGCAGAGAGCAGCAGCTCATGGTAGTGGGAAAACAGCAAAACAGCAAGAGCAAAAGGGAGGAGTAGCAGCAACAATGGCAACAGAGAGCAAGTCTGCCTCCCTTCTGTTGCAGTCAAGCTCTCCTCCCCAGGCTGGGAGTAGCACTCCCACTCACACCCAGCACTGGATCATCAGTTAATCACAAGCTGTAGCAGTCTGCCCCATAGGCATGAGGCATTGGGGGACACCTAGACACAAATCATAACAATAAGGAATTTCTGCAGCTTGGAAAGAAGAAATACTCATTCAAAGACAATGCTTGGAACACAAAATTGAGGTTGCTCAAATGAGAAGCTAAGTGAGATCTATGAGGGTAGCCTTAAACTGTGAGTTCCCGGGAAGCCCCAAAGTCAAGGAGATTTCTGTGTCACACATAAAGAGTTGGACTCGACGGTGTGGCTTTGAGGAAAGCTTCCACAGCAGGAAAGAGGAAAGAGTTAGGATCTGCTCATGAACTTGGGTACCAGCCCTGGGGGAAACTTAGTAAAAATTATGCCTAAAGGATGCAGGATTGGACTCTGGAAAGCCAAGAAGAAAATGCTGCAAAAAATTAAAGCCTACCTCTCTTCTCACTCTGTTAATTGCTCTTCAGAATATAAAGGAAATTAAATAACAACTGCTTCAATTAAATAATAGCAGCTACCACTTCCTGTGGTAATGAGGGAGATAGATCTCATGTAATTAATCCTGAGCCCCCAGAAGCTACTCTCAGCCCTTGGAAATCGCTCTCAGTCATTCTCCTTTCAGGGAAATGCTGAGGATTTCTAGTTGCCTTTTATGTTCAATGTGTTATTAATACCCAAAATACCTCTGTGTAAAACATTAATTGCCTGCCTGCTAGCTCACACTTGAATGTGAACACTTGGTCTGTTGAAACGAAATCCATCATCCTGCTTTGCTGGGGAACTGACCTCGCGGGCGGAGCTTTAATGGAATCCTTGATGAATCTGATGTGCACTCTTCATCCCAGACAGAGGATTTGTCAATACCACTATCACCCTCCAGAAGAAAAACACATTATAAAACAGAACACAGACAAAAGCAAGGCTCTTTCCTACTTGTGGGCACTACTTGTTTGTAAGAAAGCATCGAGGAGAATATTAAAGAGATAATGGCTTTGTTAGCACTCGCCTTCAAATGGAAGTCTGGAATAGGGAACATTAGTAATCATTGTACCAGCATTGGTGGAGTAAGCAGAGGAGAAAACAGAGCCAGAGACAGTCAGGGTGCTTACTCCTTGCATGCCTGGCTGAAAAGCTTTGTGGTCCCAAGCATAGTTCTGGGGGTCCTGGGGACTTTTCCAGATGAGCTAAGAGAGGCCTTGTGAGGCAGCATTTCTAAGCTGATGACCTGAAAACCTTGAACTCAAGCCTTCACCTGCCACTAGAGTTCCCTGCTCCTCTGTCTGAGCATCCAGTGCTTCTCCAGCTCAATCTTGTTACCACCCAAAGGGCCAGACAGCAAGCAGATGGCACATGCTAACCAAACAATTGGCAAGCTGAGTGACTGGAATACATGTTTAATGAAAAGAATGCATTTTACAAAGTTAGAGGCAAATTCCAGGAAAACCGACAAAGGACAAGGCGACACACGGAGCTGGCAGTATTGGGAATGCGAACACTCAGAGGCCTGGAAGGGTAACAGAGCAGAAGGGACACAGCACCAGGAAGGGGGCTGAGGAAACACCCAACTTCAGGGAGCGACTTCAGTCTTTGAGGGCCACCCAGGAAGAAGCCAGGGTGCTTCCGTCTCTGCCTTGGTGTCTGGTATTCTGGAAGTTACTGTTGAAGGTAATCAACCAGAGCACTGAGGGCAAAGAATATCTGATCATACTATTGTCACACTGCCAAGCTTCAGGGTCTGATGGAAAAGAAGAGTGTCGTGGGCGAGGGGCTAATACGAGACAGCCCGTCTGCCACTTTTCTGGGTTTTGCACCTGTAGATTCAACTCATCACATATTGAAAAAAAAGCTTTTTTAAAATTATGGCTGTACTGAACATGGACAGATATTTTGCTGTGTGATTGATTATTCCCTACATACTACAAACCAATGAATATAGGTATACCAATGAATTACTAGCTTTGGATTATACTGCATATCCAAAGTAATATGAAGATCAGCTAATGCATACTGGTAGATGTGCATAGGTTCTATACAAATAATTTTCATTTTGGTGGGACTTGAGCGCCTGTTAATTTTGGCATATGAGGGGGCCCTGGACCCAGGTCCCTATGGCTATGGGAAGATGACTGTGCATTCAATAGATCTGACTAGGTTTTAATCTCAAGTTTACCTAACCTTAAATAGAACTCTGGATTTTAGGCTACCCTGTTCCAGACTTTTGCTAAACTCAGTTCTCCCTATCAGTTTCTCAGAAATTGCAGACCTCACTCCTCGGAGTTGACACGGACCCGTCCATCTTCTTACACCCAGCTTGCAGTCACATCAAGTCCTGTAGGTCAACTTCCAAAGCACATCATTTCCCACATCCCTGCTTCTTCTACTCTTGACCAAGCTATTTTTCTCTCTTTTGTGGATTACCCCAGTGCTATGCAAGTGGGTCTGTTCCTCTCTCTTTCAACATGTTTTGCTAATGCCTAGAACAAGATTCAAGTCTCTTCCTTGACTGCATGCAGATCTGTCTCCTGTGGCCCCTGGCCATCTTGACAATCTTTATTTCTAATGTCTCCTTGTCTTAGTCACTCCCTTCTACCTACCTGGCTCTCGTCTTCTCCATTAAATAGGTAAAATTTATTCTTACATTAGTCTTTGCAAAAGGTATTTATTTGGCTTAAAAACTGCTTTCTGGACTTAGCCAACTAATTAGAACATAGTTCTACTAAAAGATTAATGTTTATTTTGACTATACTAAACTTGATGTTCCTTTCAATCTCTGAACAGCAAATTAAATTCTACCTTCTCAGAGATACCTTGTATATCACCCAAAGTTACCATCTGATCATTGCCTTGTCAGCCTTCTTGGTTTCTTATGATATATTCTTTTTTAAAAATTAACTTTATTTAGAAACAAATAGAAATAAGACAGTTTCAAAACAGGTTAGTAGGACAATTACAAATAATTAACATGTTGCATATTGTTGTCTTCGTAGCAGTTACTCAGAATACAAGATGCAGACATAATATCTTATCTAAACACTATTAGTACAAATCTTCTCATTGAACTAAGAGAAAGTAGCTGTATATCTAAGCTTACATATATATATATATATATATATATATTTCCACTACAAGATGGTCCTTCATTTATATCCCACATTTTCATTTAGTTTTCCAGAGATGGGTATTCCATTGCCATTCAAATACTGTAGGTGCATGAATTCAGCAAAACAATCCAGTATAGTCCAGTAATCCATAATAGTATTAGGTTATCCACAGAATTGGCAATGTCAGAAGTTGTGGACTTGAGCCTTTTATAGCTCAGCATGTTACTATAGCTTTACTTTTTATACCTTGTGTTTATACTTTTCTGCTGGATGGTTAACACCAAGATAAAGCAAGACCTACATAACAAATATTTAACTTTTGTATCTGACAAGGTCAGTCAAATCCCCTCAGGATTTACCCTGAAACCCTGTACAGCAGTTTGTAGATTCTTTGTCAGTGTCAGCCATGTGGATGAGTCATGGCCATTGTTTGAACAATTTCTTCTCTGTGAAAGCCTAAGAGAATGTTTTCTCTCCATGTGAGTCTCCTTAGGCACACTCTACATCATTGATCACTTTCCTCTGTGGCCGCATAATCTCCTTGATCAGAAAATTTAAGACACCAATGAGTTACAGGATGTTACAGTACAGGTTCTTCTATGTTCTGAGTCTTCACTAACCTTGAATGGCTAGGGCCAAAATGTTGGCTGTCCTTGTAGCCCTTCTTTTTCTCTAATTTTTTTGTTCTGCAAACTTCAGTTGTTAACCCACCAGAAGAGAAACTTAAGGATATTATTACCCTACAACTTAGGCAGTTGAACTTAACATTACTATCTGTCTGAATGGCAAATGCCTTAGACATAACATGGAGCAGGTATTTTCCAACAATAGTTGATATGCTAAACTTTAAATCCCTATAGAATGTGAAAAAGAAATTTAAAGATGAAAAAATAAAAATAAACAATTGCACATCTTTTACACAGAAGTTTAAAAATCTAATCATATACAACATTGTTGCTGGACATTTTTTTTCTTGTCTCTTGTTTTCTTTTATTACCTTTTTGTAAACAAACATCTACGAGAGAGAGAGAGAGAGAGAGAGAGAGAGAGAGAGAGAGAGAGAGAGAGTATAGCAGTAATTGTATGACATTAGAAGCAGTATGCATTTAAAAGATGAGAAAGACAGGTACTCCATGACCCTACTATTACACATTGCTACCCTTGGTGTAGTTGCTTAGTTCACAGGTATCAGCAGCTGCAGTTAGTGAGGGTGAGAATCCTACCAATTAACTTCTAGTTTCAACAACCTGATGGAGATTCTCAGGATCATTGCCTTAACCATCTTGTATATATAAATGTATGGTTTCACCCCTGTCATGTTTCCTAGCTTTTCTCCTTGCCCTCTCTTTATTGTTTAATCCTTAAGTTCTTGCTTTCCTTTTAATTGTGTTATACCTTTCAATTTTTATTTCTTTTTTATATTAATTTTATTGATAAAGAAGTAGCAATGAGACAATTTTAAAACAGGTTAGTAGGACAATTACAATAATTAATACATTGCATATTGTTGCCTTTGTAGTAGTTAGTCATAGTACAAGGTACAAACATTCAATTCTTATTTTTCCTTAAGTTCTTACAAATATGGAACTCTTCATGAATTTGTGTGTTATCCTTGTGCAAGGAACATGCTAATCTCTCTATTGTTATAATTTTAGTATATACTGTGCTGCAGTGAGCACTGTTATGACATAGCCATTCATTTGCTTACTTATTTGTCACAGTGGCTGCTTTCTGTCTAACTCACAGTATGACGCAAAGCCTACGAAAGCAACCATCTTCTTCCTCTTGTTTGTCTGGAAAACAAGGACTTCAAAAGATCATTCCAACTAAATATTTTGGTTCAGCTAATATTAGACTTTTTACCCCAGAATGTAAGGTAAAGAGAGATGAAGAAACATCTTGATTTTTGAATACATTTTAAATGAATTTAATTCTGGGCCCTAGCATTGACATAGCTTTGAGGGTCTAGGGAAGAAAATACCATTTTCTTCTATTGTATAATGTGAGAAGATCAAATTAGAAAATGCATAGCAAATTGCTTAGCAAAGAGGCTATACTCTACCAATATGAGTTGTAATTTAATTTGAAACAAAATTATTGCTCTTATCTAGGAAAGGGACTTAAAATTAAAAAGATTAAGTAAAGGCACCATGGCCATTTCAATTTATCCACAAATATATTCCACTCAAAATTATAAAGATCTCATTTGTGCTGGCAAGATAGCTCAGTGGTCTAAAGCTCCTGCTTAGGCAAGCTTAGGCAAGCGCACAGGAGCCATGGTTTGATCCTTGGCACCAAATGTCATGCCAGCCCTGCCCCCAGGATGAGCTGAGCTGGCCACACACACACACACACACACACACACACACAGTAGAGCCAAAGAATGAGGCACATGATATAGACATTTATTTGTTGCAGCAAAATGAATGAATAAGTAAATGATCTGCAGTGCAATAGGGTGGAAAGGTGTGCAACTAAAATGAAATAAACCTGTTCACTCAAAAAATTATCCTTGAATGTCATGTGCTAGCTATTCTCTAGGTAATGAGACAGCAGCCATGAACAAGACAAACAGGGCCTCAAGAAATTTATATTAAGACAAATAATTGAGACAAAGTAAATAGTGTGATCTGCAGGTTTAGGATTTAGATAGACTTTTCTTGAAAAGTCTCCTTGAGAAAGTGACATTTAAGAAAGGAGGTACTATTGCTTGTATCTAGATGCCCGCTAAAGCCTCATTTACTGAGAGTTGGCACTTTTGAGAAATGTCTGGGTCATAGGTACGTGCTATTAGGGTTGAGGAGCATGGTCACTACATTGGGTTGGCGGTAGGAGCCCCCACCTTGGGTGTGGGTGACACCAACCAATAGGATCATAGCTTGGGTAAAATATGAAAAAGAAAAGGTGGGCTGCTGCCTACTGCTTGGTTATTGTTGCTTCCTGCCTGCCACACCATGGGCTGTTTCTCCTCTGAGATTCCTCTCTGCCTTGCTGTCTCGCCTTCTATCCTGCCTTCTGTACAATGAAACCTGTACAAACTGAAAGCTGAAATAATCCTTTCATTGTTTAACTTGTGGGTGTTGGGTATTTGGTTTAGCAAGGAGAAAAGCAACTACAATGGGACATGCAAGAAGTAAGGGAGTAAACTGGGCAGGGGTCTGAGGAACACAGTTCCCATGGCAGAGAAAGCCCAAGCACAGGGCCCAGGGTGAGAAGTGTGTTTGGTGTCCAAGGGGCACACAGTGACTAGCTGCGGGCAAGGAAAGGGGGCCAGTGCTTGAGCCTGAGGGCAGAGAGGTCATGGAGGCCTGAGAATGCTGCGACTGCGAGGACCATGACAAGGGTGCTGCTTCTGCTGCAGGAGAGAAATGTGTCATGGAGTGACTGGCTCTGGGTGACATTAGCAGATCACTCATTTCCTGGCTGACACTTGGCTGAAGGGTAAGTGTGGAAGCAGGGACTCTGATTGAGAAGATGTGGGCCACGTGAGAAGAAAGGCAGCAGTAAAAAATAGTGGCCAGCTTCAGAATTTGCTGGAAAATATGACAAATGAATAGAAGTGAAAGATGATAAGGTAAAAATGCAAATTTGGTTTTATGGCCATTTTCCTATGATCTTATTTTCATCCAATCTAATTTTTTGATGTGCCCGTGGGCACTTTCCTTTCTAAGATTTTTCCCTTTAATTTTGTTTTTTTCTAAAACTTTGGTAGCTCACCTCTCCAATAGCAAATCAGAATGAACAATCCAAGACTCTCAAAGGTCTTCCTCTGGCCTGTCTAGGCAGGTCAGCAATATTCCTCAATATCTGTCTTTTATGACATTTTCTCCATGATATTCCAATAGATATTACGAGAAAAAAGTCAAACAATTTTATTTTAAAAAGTGAAATGAGATACGTGCTATCAGACGGAGCAGACCCTCTAGCATGTTGCTGTATATTGTGAGTGTTTGAGATCATAGCATTGCTGGGGCCTTCTGGGCTGAATTACATTCTCTCCAAATCTGTATGTTAAAGCCATAACTAACTCTCAGTTTCTCTGAATAAGACTATGTTCAGTTCTGGGATCTCTAATGAGATGACCAAATTAAATGAGGCCAGATGGCTGGGACTTTAATCCAATGTGATTGGAGTCTTTATAGGCAAAGGTGATTGAGGCCCAGACAGTGAGGAGGCCACCTACAAGTGAAAACAAAGAGCCAGCTAGCTCCTTGATTGCAGGCTTCTATCCTCCATAACTGTAAGAAAAGATACATCAGGGGTTTGTTTTTAAACTGCACAATCTTCAATGTTTAATTGTGGTAAGACAAAGAGAAAAGTACAGAACACTTGTCCCCTGCATAGCACTGACCAACGAGGGGTAGCGCTGCACTTTGGTGCCGATCAGAAACCAGGAGGACACTCAGGAAATGGAGAGACAGAAGCAGGCGACCAGTGATGGACAGAACCCTTGATAAATCGCAGAAGTGACTTTCCAGCCACTCAAGTTACAAACCCGCCAATAGGTAGCTATTGCTCTGGTAATATCTAGAATATATAAAGAATATGTAAAAATAATGGATAAATAAGAAATGACTGAATTAAACAGTGAACAAGTCAGCTCAACAGACACCATTCAGAAACATGTGTATAACCAGCCAGCAAGTGCAGGAAAAAAAAGCTTAGTATCACTCGCCAGTAGGGAAATGCATATCAGCACAACTCTGAGATTTCTTCTTACCTCAGTCAAAAAGATTTTATAAATTCAACATTTTTTTTGAAGCTCCAGTGGTGCAATCAGTTAGCATGCGGCACTTATATAAATTCAACATTTTCTTTAGTTGTGTCAGAGATGGATATTCAACTGCCATTCAAATATTGTATAAATGAAGGACCATCTTACAGTGAAAAAAATATTTATATAGATATATCTATACATACAAATTAGGATAGATATACAGCTACTTTCTCTTAGTTCAATGAGAAGAAAGATTTGTACTAATAATGTTCAGACAAGATATCATGTCTGCATCTTGCACTATGAATAACTACTATGAAGACAACAATATGCAATGTATTAATTATTGTAACTGTCCTTCTAACCTGCTTTGAAACTGTCTCATTGCTATTTCTTTGTCAATAAAATTAATAATAACAAAAAAATAAATTCAACAAACTCTGGCTACTATGCGAAGATAAGGAACCCTTCAAAATGTCTGGAAATGTCAAGTAGTGCAGACTCTTTGAAAAATCTGTATGGATATTCCATAGGAACTAAAAACAGAAATTCCCATTAACTCAGCTATAGCGTTCCTGGGTAGATTCCCACTAGGGCTGAGGGCATAATGATACAGCGATTCCTGAAGATGCTGTACAGCTGCACATCCCTAGAGTGAAGCTTGGGAAACTAGTCAGATAAGAGTCCTTGGATCCATGCATGCATCAGCAACAGTCATGTGATATAAATACAAAATAGAATTTTATTCAGACTTAAAGAGAACAAGGTATCGTGATTTTCAGGAGACTAGCAGAATCCTGACACCATCATGTTCAGTGGAATAAACCAAATGCAGAAAGTTAAGTATCACATGATTACTCCTAAGCAGGTAACATAAAAGATAAATACAGAACAGAATAGAAAATAGTTGTTAGGAAGCAGAGAGGGAGAAATGTTGAAGATAAGAAAACAGACCAGGAGCAAAGAAGGGAACAGGATAAAGGAATTAAAATAAAATTTAATTTAATTGAATAAAATTGTCATACATTGTAAACATGCAGTAATAATGAATAAAAACAAAATGAATTCATATCAAAGATGAAGCAAATGAATTTCACATAGATATAAAAAAGAAATATTTGTATTTACTCTGGAGATAACAAAAATGATGAAGATTTTAAACTAAAGCTAGGGTGCACCATGGAGTCTAGATACCCAGATAACTGTGTTCCATGGAACATTAGGGATCCAGAGATGATATTTTGGCATCATCAGACAAATGCTAGGATTAGGATGCAGGAATGGTTGAAGTTTGAGAATGCTTATAACATCCATTATCATTTAATAACTGTCTTAGTTCTTTTTCGTGATTCTGAGACAAAACACCAGATGGCCTAATTTAAAGGAAAACTGGTTTATTTAGCTCACCATTTATAGAGGTTTCAGTGCATAATTGGCCAGTTCCAGAGAAGAGTGGCTTAGCTGAATAGAATAGTTCATGGTACCTACAGGACAGAAAAAGCAGCAGAAGGGAGATATAAGACATTCTGTCACTTTAATTTCATGCAAACTACCTGAGTTAGGGCAGCTGTGGCACTCCCGCCCTTACAGCCAAGGAGAACTAGGCCAAACCTACCAATGGACTGATTTGCTAATCACGAACCCTTATTCCCAGCATGACAGTGTAGATCCAGCCACCTCTGCAAGAGTCCTATGACTGCAGGAATCTTTGTGTGTGGGGGCGGTGGGAGACGGCATTGAGATATAGATCATACCAGTAACCTAGAAACTGGCATGTCTTTGGTGATGCTTTGCCTGGGCAATGGCTTTGTCTTTCGACAGTTTCTTTTAATGGGTCACTTGGCAAAGTTGTGGAAAGGTGTGTATGCTATATGTGTGTTGGAGGTGCTCACACCATCGAGAACTACAATCTAGTCCTTGACAGAATTCATGGGTTAACTGGTAAAAGGGTGCACTGATAGG